GGCCCGTGAGCCGTATGTTTGACACCCTTAGTTTTAAGGATGTAGTGTTGGAGGAGTTGGAGATGGTCGGAGGGAGGGTAGAAACCAAACGATAGTGTGAGATGGACGTCGTGTCCGTAGACGTTTTGACTTTTCCGTCTGTTTTTCCCGTCACAGACTCCGAGGAAGTGATCGACAACAGGATCCTCAGAACAGTTTCCCTCAACACGTTGCTGTTCGTCTACATGGTCCTGTAGGTTCACGGACACCGGTCACGTTTCTGATCCATTGACCTCCATTATTGACACTGTGTCTGTGTGTGTCTGTCCTCAGAGTGTGCGTCCTGGTCTTGTCTTCTTGTTACCTTGCCTTCAAGATCGTGTCTTTGGAGGAGACTCTGTCCACACTAGGCTCCGTCGTAGAGTTCACCCACCACAGAGAGTGAGTCCATGACCTGGAAACGGGTCCTTATGGTCCTGGAAAACACACAACACAAAACAAAATTTACAATTTATGTCAAAAATCATTGGACCAACAATCCAACGACATTTGGTCCGCAGACCTCCTGTTGAAAAACCTTTCGTTCAAACGTACAAACCGTTGTCTCGTCAATCAGATGTTGTATCTCGCTGATGTTGTCTTTTTCCCGCCCAGGAGTGACTTCCTGCGGAGCAACTCCGACCTGAACACAAAGTTTTTCTCCGAACTCCTGACCATCAACCTGATGAAGCTGGAGAAGGTCAGTGGTTCTGGTCAAGTCTACGTCAGGCATGGGCAAACTAAGGTCCGAGGGCCAGATTTTGGCCAGGCAAAATTTGTCCAAATTATATTTTTCCCTGCAATTCCCGCATTTCACCAATAGATGGCGTAGCAGACGCTAAAAGCGTTTTCAGCATTTTTAGCCTCTATGCACGACTTTTATACATCATTTATCTTTGTTCTCACGAACACCAAAAGTTTTCCCACGCCTCGCTGTATGTCCATAGTTTCCACAGTGAAACTAGACGCTTGTTGCTGTTAATGAAACATTTAGAGTCAGCGATCAGTTCACAGAGAAGCAACAATGTCGCCTGTAAGAAGATCTCAGCGCTAGGCCATCATGACGTCAGTGCGACATAATGATATGTCTCCCACCCCCCACATACTCCCCCACGCACACATACAATCAGCGCCCACTAGTGGGCCGTGAGAGACTATAAGGATAATGAAGAAAATGATCCAATTTCTGCTAAAAGTGACAGGCAGAACAATTGAATACTCATCCACTAGGTGGCAGCAGATGGTTATGAAAAGTAAAAAAAGGAGAATCACCGCCTTTGAAGAATCGTCTTTCTTCAATTCCTGCGAGTATATCAGAGTTGTCTTCAACTAAACAGGCTAAGATTTTAGTAAATTAAAACTGGACGATTATTTTATTTCATTACGCAAACGTTTTGTGAGATTTTTGTTCGGTGGTGTGGCGTGTGTTTCGCTATTGGAAAATACGTGTCGTGGCTCAAAATAAGTTTGGAAATCACAGATATATACTGTACTGTACTCTTCAACAGTGACTCACCTCGCACGTTGTCTCCCCCTGCAGGTGCAGAAGAATCTTCAGAGGCTGTTGGATGAAGCGGCCTGAAAGTGAACTAAAAACCAGAGTGTAAATATCCTGTAAATACATGTCGTGGGTGTGTGAGCAGATGTTACAAATATACTGTTTTTAGAAAACTGCGACTGAAGAAGAAGAAACTTCGTAAAGAACGACTTCTTCGAATGTCGACTTTTGTCCTACAGTGGGAAAAATTGCGTGACTTTTTCAGCGAGAATTTACGTTTTGGATTTACAGTGGAGTTTTGTAGCAACTGTTGCTAATGAATTGAACCGGACGGGGGCTCCACAGAGGGCGCTGTAGAGCAATTTGGGAACCAGGGACTTATTCGACTGTTACAACAGACCAGCATCACTGTGATTCTGTAAATACTGAATTATCCACAGATACACACTAGGAAATGTTGTTTTATTTTTGTCCGAGAATTTTAAAAAAATGCGCTGAAGTACTAACTCAAAGTATGTGTACTTTTACATTTTCCAGGTACAAACACAGTATTTTCAAACCTGTCTGTGATTCTCTTCAAGATTAAAAAAAATTACTTATATAATAATAACAATAATAATTGAAGCCAATGGCCAATTTTTTTTATCCTATAATTTTCTAAGTGAATTGTGTCAGAGGTCCTGCAGTTTCCGTGTTCGCCACTGGGTGTCAGTGTACAGTGAAAAAAAAATTCTCCTGATTTTTTTTTT